TTGAAAAAGAGGACTCCTGCATGACAATGGCCTTTTATAGGAGAAGACCAGAGACCTCTCCTACAATGTGAATATACAGTATTTGTCTATAAAGCAGGAAAAAAAAACATTAACCAGAATCAGACCATAATGACATCCTGATCTTCAGCTTCCAGCCTACAGGGCTGTGAGAAATAAACACTCGCCATTTAAGCACATCATTCTATAGTAGTTTGCTATATCAGCCCAGACTTAGACACACAATCAGATCCCATTCAGGAAACAACATCTTTGTATTGACTTGTATGGTTTGAATATACAGTGTTTTCCCCCAAAGCCAATATGCTGAAGGCTTGGTACCCACTGCAAAATGTTCAGAGGTAAAATTTGGGGGAAGCATTTGTATCATTAAGGTTCTGGCTTAATCAATGGAGTAATCCACTGATGAATTAATAATTTTACAGGCTATTTGGAGGGGATAGGCACTGTGGAAGACCAGAATGATCAAAAGTAAAACATTGCTGGGGGACACAGCTTTGAAAAACTGTACCCTATCTCTATGTGGTCTTTTCCACTTTGTGTCTCTTTCTGTTTCCCAGAACCCAAAATGTAATCAGCCTTGATCCCCAACATGTGATGGAGTTGACCAGCCATGTACTGAAATCATGGCCCAAACAAGCCTTTTTTCTTTTCATGTTTTCCCAGCTATGTCTCAAAGCACTGAAAACTAACACAGCATGCTACACTTGAAGACTGTGTGAGTGTCAAGGCTCCAAAACTACTCCATCTGTATTCAGATGACCAAGAAAAATAACTTCCTTTGGCTAAGCCCTTGGCAAAAAGTGTTCCAATGTGGGATATGGCTGAAATGATGTATGTACAACTTTTGTGAGTATACTTTCCTAAAGAGTCATGAAAGGACAGCTGCTTGAAGAATCCCACTAAAGCATTTGTCCTGTGACATTTTCACTGTCATTAGGACTTTGTTCAGACTCAGAGGAGTCACCTTGCTGCATCCCCATTTACAGTAGTTCTCATCCCAGCATCTGCCTGCCTGCTAAGTTTCCCAAGGATAAAGACATATGTCTCTTTTCTGGGACAGCACATACCCAACAACAGATCTATTGTGAATATAAAGCCATGGCCTCTGTGCTACAAGTGAGCACAACCCTACAGGCATCGTACTTCCTCTTGAAGTTGGCTGAGAAATGCTCTATCTATCTATCTATCTATCTATCTATCTATCTATCTATCTATCTATCTATCTATCTATCCATCCATCCATCTATCTGTTTATTTATTTTTTTGCTCTCTCAATCACTCGGTGTGCTGGTATGGCCATTCTTTTCAAGCAAAAACAGAAAGTTTAAAGTGGAAGACCAGTTCATTGTGAAGAAGGGTTAGGATGACAAGAAACTAGAAGAATGGATAAAGGTAATACAAGCTAATTTTTATTGGAATGTAACTTATGAATAAGGATGCAGCCCATATTGCAAGCACTTAAATTGTCATACCCAGTGTATGTTCCAGAAGTCTGAGGAAACATTTCAATCAAGATACTGCCCATGAACTATGGTCCATCACGTCTGTGACTATCATCAAACCCATGGCCATTTCACCTGTTTCACAGGCTGTATACCAAGAGCAACAAAGATCTGATTATTAAATTGAAAGCACCTGTATGAACCTGTTATAAAACGAGTAACAGTTCATAGTTCTGCAAAGTTTCTATCACCTTTAACTTAGTATTCAGCTTCCCATACCTCATAAAAGATATGAATGAAAGTCCCTGTGTACCAATGCGTCTTTCTGTAGGAGAAAATTTAGTTTTATTGCACTGGGTCCCCTGAAAACGGAGGTGTGTCAGAGTGCAATATTATTGAAGAAAGTCTCCAAAAACAAGGAACACTGATTGAGAGTCCTTGAACATCTTTTATGATAAGTTTTAAAAATCCTTTTTCAAAGATCTGAAGACATCTCAGTAAGCCAGTCACCTGCCATGTTAGCAGTGAGATCAGACTGATACTTAAAATCCTCTGAGGCCTGGCCCCAGCTCCAGACTGGCCTTGCCACATTCAACCCTGGGCCAGGACACAGAAATAGACGACCTATCCAAGACTTCCTCAGAGGCCCTAATGAAATAAAAAATGGAAACTATTTCTGTGTCAACTATTTATGTCTCAACAGTATGGGATGTTTCCTCCTAGGTCTTCTGCAGGATGAAGCAGGACAGAGCTGCATCAGTTGCCTACCCCCTTCTCTGTAATGCATATTGGTTTAAATTGGCCCTGGCTTCAACTTCCCAGCTAGTCCCCAGGCTTCTCACAGAGGTGCTCTGGTCTGTACGGCAATGCTTAAAACAGTGCCTCTGTGGGAAGGAGGGCTTGTAGCTTCCTGGTGAGTCACTCTGCTCATGTAACAATTCCTTTTTGTTTTTAGCCTGAAGAAGATTTCTAATCCTATTTCAACTTAATTATAATATTTTCACCTTCTGGAATATAATTAATACTTTATCACATTCGTTTTCACATGAAGGAGCATCATTGCTTTTGTTTTGCTCCCATTATTAACCTGCAATGGCTTGATATCAAAATAAAGTTCTAGTTAAAAACTTCTCATTAAGAGGCAGGTGGATCTCTGTGAGTTCGAGACCAGCCTGGTCTACAGAGCTAGTTCCAGGACAGGCTCCAAAGCCACAGAGAAACCCTGTCTCGAAAAAAAACAAAAAAAAAACAACAAAAAAAAAACTTCTCATTAATATTTCTTGAGACATCCAAGATTACTTTCTTTATTTCCACACTCTAAAATCCTGGAATATTTATAATCATTCACCATTTTACTTACTTAGTTTTAATGCCACAGTGTTTGTATATAACACCACATAGTAATCTCTCTCACACACATTTTCTGTTTTCTCTCTGTCTATATATTTTATTATGACAAAATCAATGCAGTCCTGAATTCTGATGTATCTCGTGGTTAAAAAAAATTGTCCTGGAAATTGGGTGATTAAAGGACATTATTAACACAGCTAAACTTTCCAGGAGTGCGCTGTTAGGAGAGTATATTTTAGAATCTGTACTATGATAGCTATAAAACCGTGCAGTAGTTATTGTTTCTGACATTGTGTAACCAGCAAGTGGTCAGTTTGCTTCCCACTCATGTGGACAAATGATGCTCATCTCTGGTTGTTTTTTCCACTTAGTTCACACTTTGTAGAACAGAGGTATTTGTGAGCATCTTTATCAGAAATCATCTCACCTCAAACCTGCTGTTCTTAGCAGAGCTACTGTGGACTTCTTGTAGCCACAGATGGTTTCAGAACTTACAGCTAAAGTTCAGTCTCCTCACAGCATCATGTGAACCTTCTGCTTAGAGCATCAAACTTCTCTTCAATCCATTGATGTTTCCTATTCATCCCAACAGCTTTCATTAGCAGCATTGCTTATTCAAGTGTTTTCCATGAAAGAACTTAATACTTGGCATGTTTATTCACACATTTTCCATGTAAAGCTAAACTATCTTGACAAAGAAAGGAGTTAATGTGGCAAGAACAGGCACTGTTAGCAAATTTTCAGGTGATTCTTATGTATAATAAAACTTGAGAACTTTATAAAATATACAATGAAATTTCTACATGCTGGATTGAATAATTTTCTAGAACTGTATAGAGTAAATCAAGATGCACAACTCTGGAAAGTCTTGCACACTTGTTGAAATCTTAGGCTTAGATGGCGAATGAGGCAGATCCTTGTGTGTGGTGTTGAGTAAAATCACTGTCATCAAATAGTGACAGCGCAGGAGGTTTCATTGTGTCTTGAGTGAGACTTTTTGTAGGCTTCCTCTCACTTTGTAATCATTAATGGTCTTTGGGAATGAATGTGCTCCCATACTGTGAATATACACCTCCTGTCTTCTGGAACTCACAACCAAGAGACTGCTACCACTGCTGTGTAATTGTGAGCACCTGATACAATTCCACTCTGACCACAGAAAGTGATTTTAAGAAAATCATTGCTTTTCTTCTTCACCTGTAATCTGCAAATGTCTGACCTGGAATTTGTAGTCTTGTTTTAAGTCTCCAGGCCTGAAAAAAAACCTTGGAGGAGTTAGCACATTCCATAAACCTAAGACCTCCAGTCTCAGTAGCTCTGACAAATAACATCATTTCAGTCAGTAAATATTTTTATATCTATGAGAACCTTCAGGACAATGCTGAAAGGCACATGTGGCTCCCTCCTCAGATCACTATGTATTGTTTCTATGTATATACCTATGTATCTATGTATATCTATCTATCTATCATCTGTCTATTATGTATGTATGTATGTATCTATATATTTATTAATCATCTATCAATCACAAAATATCTTATATCAATTCCCAAGAGTTTAGTGGGGAGTAATTCCTTAAATTTCAATTCACGATTGGGTGGTTGTAGGCAGAGTTTTTCTGTAGTGCAGTCACTCTCAAATAAACACACTGAGGCTTATATTATATTATAAATGCTCAGCCAACAGCTCGGCCTTATTACTAACTAGTTCTTCAGTGTTCCTTATTTGCATTCTGCCATGTGGTGGCATATTTTAACATGGAAGGTTATCTTCTGCTTCCTCTGCATCTGGCTGGCAACTCCAGACTCATCATTTTTCTTTCCAGAATTCTCCACGTCAGACTCTCCTGCCTAAACTTATTCTGTTCAGCTTCTTCAATAAACCAATCACAGTGAAATATATTCACATAGAGTAAAGGAATATTCTACAATAGGTAGTAATTTACTCTGACCTTTATTCTGAGGAAATAACTGAGAACAGAAGGTTAAAGAAGGAAAGACAAAAAGTCTTTTCCAGAATTTTCGCAGTTTTCTCAAAAAGCCTACCATCTTTCTGCTTGAAAGATAAGAACATGCAAACTGTGTGAGCATAATGGACACCAAATTCGGTAACAGTGGAGAAACTCAACAGCAAGTATGTGTGGGTGTGGATGCAGACCGTAGAGCGTTCACAGCGGATTTCCTTTTGCTCATTTGGCCTCACAGAGTTTTGAGTTTTACCTCGTCCAGAAGTCAGTGTCACATCTTCCACCTGCAATGGACACGTCGGTGGTTTACGCTGACTTAAGTGCAGCCAGGACCCGAGTGCTGAGCCATGCATCACCTCCATCTCTTCCCTCAGGTAAGAGACTTTATTTCTCATTTCAGTGCTTGAGTATAGTCTAGAGTTACGGTTCCCATTAAATTGCAGTTTTAAATGATTGCTTTGGAATGGTAAAAAGTACTTTTACTCCTCAGGTAAGAGTACTTGTTGCACAAACCTGACAATCAGTCAAATACCAATACCTTTGGTGGAAAGAGAATCACCTGCCGAAAGTTGTTCTTTCAACTCTACACCTAGTGCGGCATGCACACACCTGCAGTCATACAGGCACATAAACACAGACACTCACACGCTCACACAGTCACATACTTATCGCATGCTCAAAAACATGTCAAAGAATCACAACTTTAGAGAAAAACTTCAATGCAATTTTATTCAAGGAGTTCATGAAATGTGAACAGGGATATTCAGCTTCAGTTAAAAAGACTCTGAATAAGTAATATTTTGCATATATGATCAGAAAAATACTTTTAGAGACACTGCTGACTTGCTGTAATGTATATTGCCCATTCCAGATCTTCGTCCAGAACACAAGCACTTTGATTCAACTCCAATCCAGTTGCACACCTAATAATTAGCATTGGGACCAACAGCCCTTTTCTCTTCCAGAGAGTTTAGTAATCTGAGTGAAAGAAACATTTAAGACTGAGGGAATGCTCAAAGGGATGACATGAGATGAGGGTGTGTAAAAAGTGACCAGAGACTGGGGGAGAAATGTGTCTAAAATTGTCACAAGACCATATTCTTTGCCTTACAGAAGCTTCTTAGTTTCAGGAAGTCCCATTTATTGATTGTTGGTCTCAAAGTCTGTGCTATTGGTGTTATATTTAGGAAGTGGTTTCCTGTGCCAGTGGATTCAAAGCTATTTCCTAATTTATCTTTTATCAATTTCAATGTATCTGGATTTATGTTGCGGTCTTTGATGCACTTGGACTTGAGTTTTGTGCATGGGGATAGATATGGACCTATTTGTCCTCTTTTACATGTCGACATCCAGTTATGCTAGCCCAGTTTTTGAAGGAACTTTCTTTTCTCCACTGTATAGTTTTGGTTTCTTTGTCAAAAATCGGGTGTTTATAGGTGTGTGGATCAGTATTAGGGTCTTCAGTTTTCTGATATCTTCTTCAATTTCTTTTTAAAGTTCTTTCACTTCTTTGGATTCAGTTATCACAAGATATTTTATGCTATTTGTGGTTATTATCAAGGGGGATGCTTCTCTGATTTCTTTCTCAGCCCATTTATAATTTATATATAGGAGGGCTATTGATTTTTTTTTGAGTTAATGTTGCATCCTGCCACATTACTGAAGCTGTTTATCAGCTATAGGAGGTCCCTGGCTGTATTGGGGGTCACTTATGTATACTCTCCTATCATCTGAAAACAGTGAAAGCTTGACTTCTTCCCTTCTAATTTGTTTTCTCTTAATCTCCTTTTGTTGTTACAGGAGAAAAAGAAATTATTCCTCCCAACTCACATACATTCATGTACAAGCAAGCTGCTACAGATTAACAGAGTGTAAGCAAGCAAGCAAGGTATTCTTGACAGACAGTTCTTTTGCTGGCTGTCTGCATTTTGTGGTTACAAAGAAAGGAATGATCACTTTATTATTTATGAAAAAACTTAAAAGAATCACAAATCCAAACTTTCATTTATGAAGAACAATCATCTCTCTTAAAATCCCTAGGTTACATACCCATTCATCAACAGGCTTTTAAAAAAAATCAAGAAGCTGAGGGCAGAAATGGGTATGAAAAATTGAGCATTTCCTTTGTTCACCAACCCATCTGCTTAAGAAAGGCTCATTAACCAGTGATATCATTGTTTTTATTTCCTGATCTCAATGAGTTCCTTGTACGACTATTAGAACTGTACCTTTCCAAACTTAAAATTGTTCCCCAAGATTGACTACCACAAAGTTACTAACAAAAAACTTCTTAAACTAACCTTGTCATTATTTAAAGCTTGGTTTTAGCCATGATGCACACCAAAACCCATTAACACATCCCCCAACATTAATATTTAAAGACTTGTGCTAGCCTAACTTCTAGGAATCAATTGTTTTCCTTAATCACTAACCTAGGATACAGACTATAGGGCTCCTCAAGGGAAACTCATGAGTACTAGATGCACGGCACTACCTTGGTTCTATTTTCTATTCTTTTCAGCTCCTGATTTATCAGGGTGCAAGGACAACACTATATCCTGCCATTTTCTATATAAATTTTCCCATTAAACTAACCTCTATCACAATACCTTACTATGTTTATTGAAAACCCCAATCATCAAAAGTCCATTTAAAATAACACTATTATTATATAAAATCATTACTTCTGTGAAACAATACAGCTTAAAAGGCAATCATCTTCATAATAATCCACAGGTAAAAATGCCCACTAGAACAGGATATTTCTGTGACATAATCACAATACATTAAATGCAGTGGTGATCCTCCCAAACCCATTCACAGCATGACAGATACCAGATAAAAATGTCAGTGCAGACACATAAAGTCACAGAAGTAGCAAAAGACATTCTGGGGACAAAGCCCTCCGGGCCTTGTCTATCAGAGATTTACCCATCAGTGCCTTGCATTCCGGCGGGTGGATTCCTGAAATTAATTGCCACCTGCTGCTCTTTGACATGGCCACTGATAGGTTAGGAACTATTAAATTTAAAAAAAAAGTGAAAATCAGGAAATCATCTTAGAGTCATCAAATCTGCTTCATTATCATCTTTACAATGGGTCAGGGGAAAGAGGAGGCATTGATACTGCTGGGAGAATTCCAGTGAGCAGGTGTGATAGGAAGCATCATGCTTTTCTTTTCCTTATGTTCAAGCCTAGCAAAAGGATGGGAATGGGCTTGTTGAAGTGGGTGTAAGAAGATGAACATTGAAAAAGACAATGAGATTTCATCAACATTACTAGCCATGATCCCAATCCAAGAGACTAGAAAATTTGTCTGCCGTGATTGTGATTATTTTCCTACATACCATGAACTTGAATAGAAACCTAAAGGACAAAAGCAGTAGAATAAAGGTAGAACAAACCTGTGAAGAGAAAATACTGACCAGGTAGTGAAAGAAATGAAACAGCCTGGATCCATTAGCTACACAGCTCAAAGTGTGGGAAATTCACAGCAAAGTGATTAAATCTCCCAGTAAACACACAAAAACAGAGGGACATAGGCAATGACTTGCTTTGTGGTCACATGATCAAAGGTTAGCCTTGATAGTAGGATGGATAAAAATTTGTACAGAGTTCATTCATTCATTTAGAAATAAGTATCTACTAAGTGTCAGTATTTTTCTAGATGAAGATCCAGCTGTAAACAAACATGAACAGCTTTTTTTAATAGACAAACAAACAAACAAACAAACAAGGAGCCTGAAGCTGAAACTTCCATATAACTAAAGTTCACATGGTCTTTTAAAGGTCTATCCACTCAATCTAATCTCATACAGAAGATATCAAACAGGGATGGATGTCTATGTAAGTCCTTACTCCTTAGTGTGAAAGAATAACAATTTTAAAAATCATCCAAATAATCCTTTTACTTTTAGTTTAAAAAACCACTTGTGTGTGTGTGTGTGTGTGTGTGTGTGTGTTGGTGTTTGTGGGGAGAGAATTACTGTATGTTCAATAGTGCTTTGTACAATACGCTATGCTTTGGAATTTATTAGAATTGTTTCATAAATTGAGAGTTCGTAAAGTAGATATTGTCCAGACATTTTATAGGTGAGAAAATTTCTGGTTTATGACACCCTAACATATTGTCCCCAGTATTGTATTGTGTTGCATTATAAATTTGAAATGATTGTTCTGAATATTAGACTTTAGTAAAAACAATAAAAATGGTGACTGTATGAAGATAATTCAATTATTTAAAAGAATTCAGAATTTTGAGGGTGGAATGATTGATAAAAGAGAGAAATGTAAAATTATATATATGTGTGTGAGAAACATGACTTCTTAGGCTTATTTACTGGGCTCAGTCCCTCTGTGTCTCACTAGTATTCAGGATAAATTCTAGACTGATATAGATACACTGATGTTCTCGTATTTGTGGTGTCCTTGAGGCCTTGAAGTTTATCTAGTATCTGCTTCTGTCTCCTTATGAAGTCACACAGCATGACTTACACAGCAGAAATGACATTCCATGATCTCATTTCAAAGTTCAGTGTACTGTGTTTCCTCAATGACAGTCTTGTTTCACTTTGACCACACAGCATTGCTCACTGTCCACAGATTATTGCTTATAAAACCTCTTCTTGTTAAATTAAGTCTCTTCTATCAAATGCGGTATTTGCACAGGAGCTATGTACATAATCCTTGCGCTTTAGATAATCTCCATATTCCCTACAGTGTCTAAGATGATCTCATTGCCTTGAAATAGTTGTTCTTATTTGTCTAGAGGATATGATGGGGAATGTCCATATAGGTTCAATAGATTTTTATGGTTGAAAAGTTTTAGTTAGCAGTGAACGTGAAATACTGGGTCTATCGATATGATTAAGAGGAGTTGTCTCCTATCTCCTGGGAACACTTCTACTCATTCTGCCTTTTTTGTTTTTCTCAAAACACTTAAAATGATTTCTGCTAACTGGGAAGAAGGGCAGAGAGGGCCAGACTCCAGCATCATGGGGCTCTGAGGAAATCCACAGAGTCAGTGTGCTATGACATTTTTATCTGTGGGTGTAAGGGAAAAGACACTCACTCTCTTGATGATTTCTTTCTTCTGCATTCTTTATTCTGTGTTCTATATTCTCTTTTCTTATCTCTATGTTTCTTCTTTTTCTTTTGGTGGTTTTGTCCTAACCCTTTGTTCTTCCTTATTCTCATTCTTGTTTTCCTTCTTTGTTCTTGTGTATTTGCTCTTTATTTTTCCTCTAAAGCTTATTACAAAATCTTTCAGGCAATATAAAAATTATAATGTGGTTACATTCTAGTTTTCAAATGAATGATTACAATGAATATAAGTAAAAGGCAGCATGCGTTCCATATCACTTAACATGATTAAACATTTTATGTATTACAGGTGAAAAATAAGTTTTCTCAAGAACCCAGGTACATTATACTAAGTCACAGCTTCTGTTATTCCTCAATAGCAACTTATGTGCTATAGGTGTGTGACACTTCCTTCTTTTATTTTTTAATATTCTACAGTATCAGGTTTATCAGAGGCAAGACAATATTTCATCCTACTTTTACCTGTATTAATTTTTCCACTAAACTAAGCTCTTTCTTAATTTCTTACTATATTTATTAAAAACCCTCAATCATCAAAATCATATTTAAACTAACACTATTATTGTATTGAGTCAATGATTCAGTTAAACAGTACAGTTTAAGAGCAAATTATCTCAATAATAATCTACAAGTAAAAATGACCAGTAAAACAGGATATTTCCATGGGATAAGCACACTAAATTACAGGCAGTGGGGATCTCCCCACACCCATTCACAGCAAGCCAGATTCCAGAGAAAGATAACAGCAGCAAACATATAAAGGCACAGCAGAAACATAATACTCTCTGGGCTTTGACTATTAGAGATTCACTCATCAGGGATTTTCCTCCTGGGAAAACATTATGGTCTCTGGACTTTGACTATTAGAGATTCACTCATCAGGGATTTTCCTCCTGGGGTGCTAACACTCCGAACTTCAGTCTCCATCTGCTGCTCCTCTGATATGGCCAGAATCAAGTGATTTAACTCATTTAATTATTGTTTGTCCGCATCCTAAAACTGCTTTATAGTCATAAGAGCACTAGGGTTTGTCTGCAGTCATACAATTCAGACACCAAAACTAATGAAAAAAAAAAAAAGAAAGAAGAGAAAGGAAAAAAAGAAGAAAGAGTAGAAAAAAACATATGGGTAATTCTTGACCACATAATGAGAATAAGAAAACATTTAACACATCTTGCTTGAAATTTGAACATGTAACTCAAAGGATGCCATCAATTACACCAAGAAATATTTAAAAAATAGAAAACTAACAAAACAAAAAATCTGTAGCTATTGAAATTCCTACCCATGCATGGTAAGGCACAGCTATAATTTTAGTACTTGAGTAATGGAGACAGGAGTATCAGGAGCTCAAGGTCATCCTTAACCACAGAGGGAGTTTGAGTCTAGCCCAAGGTACAGGAAATCAAATCTGAGAAAAAAAAAAACTGAAACAAAAAGTGAGAGGAATGCTTTGCTTAGTACAGTGTTTTTTCTAATAATTAAATCTATAAAGTCATTTATAAGATGGTAATGCATGGAACTTTTAGAAGCTAAATCAGAGCAGAAGGAGAATTGTGATTAATTAGACAATGTAAGATCCATCTAGTATTTCTGCTTATTACCTTTATAAACACAACTGTTATTGATTTCCATATCTAAACCAATTTTTTAAAACAGTTTACCATAGAGTTAGTCTCAAAATTGTGGTACATGATGATCACATTTCAAATATTAATACATTTTACTATCTAATAAACATAAGATATCTATTGTTGATAGTTACCAAAGAAAGCAGAGAGGTCAAACCTTGTGTCTGGGCAGTGCAATGTGGTTGACGTAGTGTATGTCATGCTAAAGCACAGAACCCCTTATCTGCTATAGACACAGTGTATGTCATGTTACAGCACAGTACCCCTTATCTGCTATAGACACAGTGTGTTTGCCATTTCAGAGTCTGTAGCTTCTGTTACTTGCATTCAACAGCAGTCTTAAACTATTAGCTATAAAATTATAGGAATAAATATTTCAGTGTTTTAATTTGGACACTACTCTGGCCAGAAACAATGAGATCTTGCAGTCTAGGTTAAGAAGTGAATTACTAGCAACCATTACCCAGCAACACTCACTTGCTCAGTGATGAACACAAATTGGAAAAGTAGTGATATCACCTGAACAGATATCCTAAAGAGAAGCCATAATGCATTATTTTAAGTAAAAGGTAATAGTACAAAGATCTCTACAGTACTCCACTTAGCAAAAAAAAAAAAAAAGTTTTTACTGTCACACATCAAATTAGCAAATTGTAAAATCTGTAGTCCCCAGATGTAGTATGTGCTTAGTTAAGATGGAAAACTGACCCTCCCACACTCCGTGTGTGTGTGTGTGTGTGTGTGTGTGTGTGTGTGTGTGTAAAATACTGTGCACAGTATGTAGCATTAAATTCAGTTCAATCAGTACACCAGGAGTTTTGGAAATATTACTTGTAGGTAACAGAGGTCTTAGGAAACCACCTCTGACATTTATCTCAGATGGATCCAAGTGGACGATTTAACTAGTATATTCTTTGCACTTCTTAGATGCCTGTCAGTGCCCACGCTGGCATCGGCTGGCACTGAAACTCAGCTGTGCTGGACTGATCCTTCTTGTCTTGATTCTGACTGGACTAGGTATTTCAAGTATGTAAGGCAAGCACTTTAGCTTTATAATTTTCCCAAATATATATTAGTTTTATTCATAACATTTGGCCTCTTTGAGCCTAGGGGAAGGTCATTTGCATGTAATGTTATAGGGCAATATCCCATGTCCACTGCAGAAATTTAACATTCTTCCATTCTTCTTAATTTTTTGAAAGCCATTATAGGGTATGGCACATGTGCATCTTGAATATAAAAAGTAAAAGTCAAATTATGACAAAAGATGACAATAACAAAAAAGCTAACAAAAACCCATATTTAGCATATTGAATGCTTGATAAAACTTTTCTTGTAGTGGGTGTGATTGAAGATGAGCAAACCCACAGATTGACTTGTCAGTCAATGATATATAACCTCATCACTGTTTGAATCCACAAGTTCTGTGTATTTCATGTGACATGTCCTGTCTCCAGATTTCTCCCTTAATCCAGTGGGCCAATATTTTATCCTCAATCCAGATGTCCAGATGAAATAACTTGATTTCCTGAAATAAGAAATGAAAAGAAAAGCTGGGTGTAATAACACATGCCTCTAATCCCAGCAATTAGGAGTCAGAGGCAGGTGGATCTCCATGAGTTTGAGGTCAGCCTGGTCTACATAGAGAGTTCCAGCACAGTCAGGGCTTGACACAGAGAAACCTCTCTCAACTCCCCGACCAAAAAAAGAAAGAAAAAAAGAGCACACTCATTCCACTATTCATTTCAACATTTAATCCTCTCTGTATGCTTCATTATTTACTAGTGGGATTCTTAGAGAAAAAAGCACCAATAGAAAAATGTGGCGTGGCTGCTCAAGAGATCATGGCTGAACCAACAGGTAATTGTGTGGCTTGAATTTCCTGATTATAAGAGGTGATTTTTGACAGAAAATGTGAGTCAACTCAGTTGAAGTTCAAAATAGTCTTCAATGAAGATGCTTTATCACCTTTTATGTCTGAGAAAAACATAAAACCATTAGGAACTTGCAGGGAGTCACAGGGTCTGTAAGTGTTGGTACCGGAAACTGCACTGAAGCTGTGTGATCTTGACATTTATGATCTTACCCAGCTGGCCATGCTTCCTCGGGTTGCTGGTACACAGAATCTTAATAGGCAAATATCAAGTTAAAAAATGAAATAGTTGATTATTTTAGTGAAAATGTTAGACAGTTTACTTTGTCTGAAGTAAATTAGTAGAAATGAAACATAAAATTAATCCATCGTCATTAATTATGATTCATTGACATATGTCAGCATTAGCCTTGTTTCAGTATTTGCTAAATGAAACAACTCCTGTGTGAAGTTGATTATGGTGCAGCAGAAACAGGGCAGAAATAAGCATATCTTCTTTCTTACTCTAGGGAGATCAGCCATACCAACATGCCTGAAAGATTGGCAGCCATACCGGGATAAATGCTTATTGATTTCTCAAATTTCCAGACCTTGGTCTGAAGGTCTAGCTGACTGCTCTGTGAGAGGAGCCACTCTGCTGCTCATTGAAGATCAAGAAGAATTGGTATTGACAATAAAATTGCTCAGTTTAGAACATAACACTTTCTTGAAGCTTTGATGACATGTCTGGACTTTAACCAATGGTCTACGTTGATGAAGTGAAGACTTGGATTTTAAACAGTTTAAAACCTAGATGCAGTGGGGAGGGCGTTGGACTTTCCAAAGGGCAGGGTGCCTTGCCCTCTCTTAAGATTGGAGAGGGATAGGAAGGAGACAGTATGGAGGGAGTGGGAGTGGAGAGGAAGGAGGGGAGGAAGTGGAAATTTGAATTGGTACTTCTTTAAAGTAATAAAAAATAATGGAATAAATCAATTAAAAGTAGAAATATATAGAGATCAGTTTTACAGAGGAGAAATTTATGCCAGTGGGGAGCTAGGATGGGATTCAAACAGGAGTAATAGTGATTTAGAATGTTGGTAGAAGAAAGTGTGTTATAAATAAATAGATTGAAGATTAAGTCTTCCATTATGTTTTGATTATAGAGATACTTCCAGAATTTCTCAAAGAGAGAAGGACATCAGTTTTTTATTGGACTAAAATATATGCAAGTGGAGCAGATCTGGAAGTGGACAAATGGTTCTACTTTAAATCCTGATCTGTAAGTATTAAATGAGGTAATTTAAATACTCAATTCACCCTCAGTTTTTCTGAAAATTGAATTTTGTAATTTTAATTTAGTGTATAAATTCTTGAGATTGTTGACATAGACTGAAAAGACAATTTCAGAATTAGTTGCAAAGTTTCATGTACAAGTAGATAGAAACCCTTTATAATAATATGTGTATTTAATTACAATGGAATTTTAAAAGACAGGAAGTGGACTAACTCTTTACTGTTAGAGATAAAATAGTTTTAAATGTTTTGGGGGGAACATATAGAATTTCTTTTTCTCTTTCTTTTTTCACACACACACTTTCTTAGAAATTTAAAAACATATTTATTTTGTTTTCTGTGTGTGTTCTTGAGTGTATGTATGGATGTATACCATGTTCATGCAGGAGTTCACAGTAGTCAGAAAAAGGCAGTAGATTTCTTGGAACTGGAGTTGCAGATGGTTGTGAGCTACTATATGTGTGCTAAAACTTGAACCTGAGCCCCCTACAAGAATAGTAAACACACTTAGGCACTACATCATTTCTCTACCCATACACAGAAATCATTCAGTGGTACTTTAGAACTGTGGTAACAAAGTTGCACCATAGTGTGTCATGAAGTTACTTTCTCTAGGCAGAATGTCTCAGTATAGACATGACTGTTTAAAAATTAATTTACACATAGTAATGATTCATTTTTCTTTCTTTCTTTGTTCTTGTGATGATTTTTGTGTGCAATTGTGCTATAACGTAAAATGCTTACCTAGTTTTGATTCATAGTGAAAATGTTGTGATAAGTGAAGTTATCCATGTCAGGCAGATTATTTAGCTCACCTGCTGTGTGATTTCACTCTGATAAAAGGATGCTCTAATTATATGTCAGTGAGCAGGTAAATTTGGCATCTGACAGGCTACAATAGAAAGAGTGTCAGTCAATCTGGCTTTCGTTTCATCTAGACTGAGCAAATGGTTATGCCTAAAAGTTCTACCGGTGTAAATATCACAGCTCAGTCCACAGAACCCATATAAAAAGTCAAACATAGAAGTCCACGTCTGTATCATAGCACTCCTGCAGAGAGATGGGAGGTAGAGACAAGAGAGTCACCTAGCAATGCCTGGGCCAGTGAGCCTGGAGCACACAGGACAGTGGTTGAAACAAGGTAGTAAGGGGGTTCCCCCACAATTGTTCCTTAACTTCTACACAAATTTTGACCCTTCCACTCTCCTTCCCCAAAATATCTTTCACACATCCATGAAGTAAGTATTTATTCTAATTCCTTGGGCCCTTGTTTTCAGGTTAGGAAAACAAGAGGAAAGATAAAATTTTACAAGCGGGGGTATTTTGGGAATTAAAAGAGATAAGGTTAGAGCTCTCACTGTAAGTCTGGCAGGGGTAGCCCTGGCAATCCACCAAATGCTTTTTGAAAAGAAATCACTGATTTGAACAAACAGGCCTTAGAAAAAAGGTCTTGAAGAATGATGAAGCTAAAAGATGAAAAATAAGATGTAAGGATATTTATAGAAGCCCAGTTGAGGGAAGTTCATACTTTGATTAGCATGTTGGTCACTAGTGTGATGTAAAATTTATTGCTTAGGGATGAGGGGCACCATAAAGAAAGACAAGCAAAAGTCAGCTCTGAGGGAGACCTGCCTACTGCCTGCTGGGTGGCATCCTCCACTTGAGATAGGCTGCTCTTGAACTCACCAATTCCTTGTCATCACTGTTGTGCTAGAGCAAAGACCCAACATCTCTGGGATGAGAAGGGAAGGAACCAGATTCTGTTCCACATGAGTTGAGGCTCTTATTTTCTCTGTATCCAATTCTGTAGATCCACTGTGTTCACTCTTCATGTTGAATACATTTACTAAGTACCTAATGTGTAACTATTGTTATACATTCATGTACACCTGAACACTTTCTCTAAGCAATAGTTGCATATAGCCTATATATTTAATGGAACTGAATCTCAGCAAAATGAAGATGCCTTTCACATGATCACAAGAACTATTGAAGTAGAACTAGGAGTAAAACATTCTCCTTTTCATACATCATAATAAACTTTCTTGATGGACTAATTCTTCTTCTGTGAGGGTACAACTGAAAATTCTAGAGGCTTCTCTAGGTGATATCTTTATTGATTATGTGTATTTATATTGTTCGTACTCTGCATTTACTATACTTAAGCACTATGCAATCTTAGCATTCTTAAATATCCAAAAATGGCTGGTGGCTGATGTGATAATTGCAAGAAAATCCTAAACACCAGGAGTAGCTCTTCTTTGCTCTTCAGATTACAAGTCACTGGCAAGGACAAAGAAAACAGCTGTGCAGTCATCTCACAGACAGAAGTATTTTCTGACACCTGTTCTGCAGACAACCGTTGGATCTGCCAAAAGAAACTGAAACATGTCTGAAACCCCATGTCCTGACTCCTGATTGTGATTGTCATCCCTATTCCTTTACCCTCTACGCCAGATCTCTGCATTGAGCTGTCAATGCTGCCAGCTCGCCCAGTGCAGTTGGTGATACAAAGCATGGTCTACAATACCACTGTGACTCTTACAGATGCTGCCTTCCAGTTTCTTTAATCTGTGAATGCAAATGCACACAGACACAGATGTGTTATTCTAAGACAAGTGTTTTATAGATGGAAGCCCCAGCCATCGGGGCACTGGAGGCCTTGTGTGGCCTTTGTTGATCTCTGTGCATGGGGTCATCTGCAGACAGGTTCAGAAAATTTTACAAAGTCTTAGTCTCAACTAGACTCCCACCCTAAGTCACTTTACATATGGACTGTAGAACCTTGATTAAAGTCTTCACTCTTGACCCTGACACCAGAAGCCCAGAGTTGGAAATGGAAGAGTGTTTTATTGACATCTCTGAAATTAATCATGGACTAATGCTGTGATAATGAGAGTGACTCCAGGCAAAGGAGCTCTGTCAACATGACCCTTCCCACACTGCAGTCATCCAGCTGCAGATCCTGGAGCATTGGTGGATCCTTGGTGCTGGGCTTGTCAGTCCCTAGAGTTGTGAGAAAAGGGCGCTTCTCCAGTTTTTTGTTATGGTAACAAAAATGGACTAGGATAAGGCCTGAACTCTGCCCACTGCTGCACAGGTCTTCCCATTTTAATTTTCTCATTACTTCTTTCTTCCATACTTGTCCATATCTTATGGCTCATTCATAAGCTGTAGGAAGTATGCCACTAAGTACTTGAGTATTTTAGTAGAAAATAAATGTCATACTTTTCAATTCCTCAGTTAAGAAACTAAAAAAAATAAGTATTTATTCTGGTAAATCTCTTGTATATCAACTATTATTAAAATACATGGCAAATTTTCAGTAATAATCAAAAGAAAAATAAAATGTTTTTACTGTATAAGGAGGCATAATAAAATTTATTTTAAAATATACATCTACATGCTCTATTCACCCACTGTCCAATTTAATAACTTAAATTGAAGAATATGCTATGGTCCAAGAAAAATTTCAATTGAAATAAATTTTAAATAAAAAAATATTATTTTATGTGCGTGGTAGTTCTGCTGCATGTGTATCTTTGTACCATATTCATACAATTCCTGTGGAAGTCAGAAGGGGGCATTGAGTTCCCTGGGACTTTAGTTTTAGATTGTTGAAAGGTACAATGTGTGTTCTGGGATCAATCTGGGTCATCTGAAAGGTCAGGCAATACTCCTAACCATGAAAACATTTCAAAACCTCAATATTCTTACTTGTTTTTTTAAAAAAGTATTTACATTGTTGTTGATTATAATTTTACAATGAATCAAACATCAAAAAATAATATTTTTGTGAAAATTTTTAGAAAAAAATTTCTCTAGGAAAAGCTTTCAGGAAAAGCATCATTAGAAAGCAATGATTAGGCTGGGAGGTGGTTGTGCACACCTTTAATCCCAACACTTGGGAGGCAGAGGTGGGTGGATCTCTGTGAGTTCAAGGCCAGCCTGGTCTACAACAGCTAGTTCCAGGACTGGCTCCAGAGCTACACAGAAACCCTGTCTTGAAAAACCCAACCCAACCCAACCAAACCAAACCAAAATCAATGGTTAACATCAGTGAAGTTTTTGGAAATGTCCTATAACTAATAAGAACATGCAGCTAAGCATATGTTTGCAGGAGTATGGCAGAGTCATGCACCCCCCCCCACCTTTTTCTAGTTAGGTACATCCTAACCAGGAAGGCAATCAGGAGGACTATGGCCATATCATAGTTGCTGGGTCTCTTGATGGTTGCAATGCTCCTTTTTGGTTAGATACCCTTGAAGACACAGGAGGTCTCTTCCTGCTATGTAAGAAACTAAGGCACCAGGGGACTTTCTCAATGACCATACATGTCACCAATGAGTGTGCTAATGTACAGGAAAGGTAATACTGAGGGGATATCATGGCCCTGGAACAATTTCCTTAACATGGGAGAGAGAAAATTTTTAAGAGAGGAATTAACAATGACATTGTAGAGTTGGACCCATAAGAAATTTCTGTAAATTCCACAATGCAGAGCCCAGTGACCTACCACCCACTTTCAGGCCTGCCTGTTCCAATCCTGTTTTGGAGCATACATTCACTTTGAGTTACTTTGCTTTGTTAAATAAACTTTTGCTCAAATTATGTCTTTGGTGAATTCTTTCTTTGAGAAGACAAGAATAAAGGAGAAACTGTTACCTGCTAAAAAGACACTATCAGAACAAAAATTAAAGGGTAATATTCCTATAAATGACAATGTGTACACTGCCTTAACAAAAGGCCTTAAGACTTCCCAAGATCAAATTCTTGGATAAAGCCCTTATGCTGACCCACTGGTTTAAGCTCTTTACGATGAACAAATCTTATTCCTATGCCACAAAGCAGCCTTAAATGCTTGGAACAGGATTCAAGGACTAAGAGACATATTTGCACCATATACCATGGTTAAACAGGGCCAGAGGGAACCCTTAACTGACATTTTACAAAGATTAACTAAGGCAGTACAAATAGGAGTAGCAGACCCAGGTGCTAGCAAGTACTTATAAAATCTCTGGCTTTTGAAAATGTCAATTTATAATAAAAAAAATATAGTTCATGCTTTAAAGGTTATATCAGCACCTATGGATGAATGAATCCTTCATAAAATGAACATCGAGTCATTTGACTATAACACTAAATCCTGGGTAGGACAAGCAATTTCCAAAAATGAGGAGACATCAAAATGCCAAATGTTTTAATTGTGGTAGAACATCTGAGAAGGGATTGTAGACAAGAAATTTCTAGGAGAGACGGAGCGAGCGGCACAGGCGCCTGCAGATGGAGGGAGCAGCAAGGTGCCCGCAGATGGAGAAAGCTGAGTAGGCAGGCAACGCAGGACGCAGGCTGCAGCCAGGACCGGCAGGGACCCGTGCGGTGGCAGAGGACGCAGGCGGCAGGGACCATCGCGCAACACCTAGAGCAGACTGCCCCACTACAATTAAATCAAAGAGGTAGGCCTTTGGTTGGCGAGGGCCCTGGCAAAAGGGGAGCCGGGTCCTGTTCCTGAAAACCCTTCTGAGGGGTGAGAGGGCTTTTGGCCCCCGGCAGGCGCCAGGAAACAGAGCGAGGGCAATTAGTAAGAGAAGCCTCTGGCCAGCAGAGAAACCTGATCTGATTTTCAAAGACCAATTAGATATCATTGAAAAGAGGAGATGGGCAGGCGCCAAGGCAGAACTTCACCCAATAATCTGAAAAACAACATGAAAACACCAGATCCCAAAGATCTTACAACAGAAAGA